CGGGGCAGCCTCCAAAGGCTTCGGGTCCGGGAAGGCGCCTGGACGGAAATGCGGGAAACCCTGGAACCCAGAGAGTTTCCGAAGTACGTGAGACCCGTGGGTCGGTTTGCCTTCATTCAGACTCCAGCAACAGGCGTTGGGGGAGAGCGCCATTGCAATATATTACCGCCGTACCGCCCCCAAATTCGCTACCTTTTCCTTAAAGGCCCATCACTGTCCCTGATGTGTTAGTTACCCAACTTGTTCTTTTTCATGATTTCTGGCGAGCAGTCGCTACACTGGACCAGCAGGCCTATCTGGTACTTTAGTTCCAGCAGGCTGCATATTTGAAATTAAACTGTCGTAAGAGAAGAGTCCTAAGAGTCCTCTTGAGATTTTATTTTTACACATTTTTAAAAAGAGTGTAGGCCCATGTATATGTTTTCACTAAAATAGGCCTTCTAGATTTGGGAGGGTTTAACAGAAAAAGAAGAAAAACAACCTAGAGATTTTAAGTTTTATTGATGTCTAATTTACATAGGCTCAAATACAATTAATTGAATTCTGCATACATATTTAGTCATAATTTATAAAGCGACTTACTTTGGTAATTTTCTTTGAGGTATTTAATGAAGTACAAGTTTTAAAGAAACATCACAAAAACATGCAACTTGTCACTGATCATTTCTGTGAATTTAACAGAGAATAAGATTTCAAGTTGACAGTCCAAACACTCTTGCTCACAGCCACACACTTCATAAATCCTTACCAAAAAAACTTCCAGGTAGGTACACTGGCACCCCAAGGTGAGTTAATTGGGATTCACCTAGAGAAACCCATTTCCCTCTAATCCAGTCAATATTTTCATTCTCTACCCACATCTCAAAAATGACTTTAGCAATCCATGTACTTTGCGTGACTCTGGGCAAAAAAAGCAATATTTAACTAAAGGCAATTGTTATTCAAACAGTGAGAATATATACAAATTATTCTGCATTCTCCTTCTCTTGTTCCAGCAACATCACTTGACTTGAGACACATATGCCTAAAAAGTTTTCATGAAAGCTAATGTATGACTTACAACTCGTCAGTGCACTTGTATTGGGAGATGATGCCCCTCAAAGTCTTTATTAAAGTGCTAATGTTTGTGTCTGGCTTATAACTTACTGACTAAAGCCACACACATGAATGAGTAAATAAAGCCTTACGTGGCTACTTAAAAGTAATCCACAAGTTATTTTCAACCAGATAGCTCATTTCCACTGTGAAAGTTTGCTAAGCTGAAGCCAAGCTTAGTTCAAGTATTCATTTGATCTGTCACTAAATGCCCAGATTTTAACATAATCTTCTGGTTTCTAAAACTCAGAGCATGGTTCTTTGTTCTGAGAGTTGGTATCCAACATGTTCCCTTTTCCAGAATTGACTCTTCTGCCATTTGAGGTATGAAGAGGCAAGATAATCTCATCTTTGATAGCTAACGGAAGAAGAAACACTTACTTCTTTCAGAGAGATACAACATGGCTTGAAGAATCTTTCGGATCATAATCAACATGCAGATTCAAAGGGTCTGACTACTGAATTTGCATGATACATAAATGAAGACACGGCAGTATTTACAGTACACAAACCTCTGAACATTATATGCCTGAAAACTGATCCTTGAAAGTTAGTAATGATTTAAGAGATTTCTTCTTATATTGTCTTCTTTATCCTCTCCAATGTAGCTCAACTGTGAGAGCAGCCTATTGGATGCATACTGGTTCTGTGCTAACAGATAAACGTAAAGCATCAAACTTCAAACCTCACTGTGAAAACGAGGCCATACTGCTCAGTTCAGAATCTCTTTTTCTTTTTGTATCGCAGAAATTCAAATCCCCAAATATCTCACACTTCACTGGAGAAATTCACAGCTTAGAATTACGTATAATGAAAGGACGGTTTCTTAAGGCCATTAGAGACTAATTCTCAAATGTTATTAAAAAGAATGTTCATATTAATATGAATAACGAGAAAATACAGAAATATTCCTATGACGATTGAAATCCTTCATCCTCTGGTTTTCTTCAAGATGTTTTCTTTTGGTTCCAGGTATTCCTACAATTTCAGTCCTTAAGATCACTAGCTTTCGACAACCAGGCCGGTCTTGTTCTTATTTAGTAGCTCAAAGGTTCTCTGAAGCATAATGAGTGAGCTCTTCAACTGCAAAGATAATTTTCAAAATCAGATTGTTGAAATGTTTTGATTATTTGTATGCCAAGAGTTTACATTTAATAGAACCTTGTTTTTACTGGTGCCCAAACAAAAGACTGACTGATTCCTCAGGGTATCTGTCGTAGGACTGCTGCAGTTCCTCCCACGTGCCCTAGCACTGCCCATCTTCCTACAGCGTACTGCTGTGTGCGCCACCTCCCAGTAGGTCTATTCATCAAATTCTCCACGGCGAACGGTTTGTTTTCTTAAATGGTTTCTGAAGCTGCAGTGGTCTCCTCACTAGCCCCTAAACAACTCAAGTTCCACGTCCCGTCCTTTATTTGTTCTTAGGCTCATGTTTGTCTTCACCTCTCAAACTTATTGTACCCTCTGTTTCCATGTAGTTTTCCCTAATCGTTCTGCCTCTAACCTCCCAAAGCATTACTACTTACTTTGACACTTAATTTTATACTTGTTCAATAGTCTTTAACAATACACATAGATATCTGATTTCTCTAGTAAAACTGTAGGCAACTTGAGAGCAAGAATTAGGTCTTATTCTTTTTTGTGTTCATTCGTCCATTCATTCATTCAACAAATATCCTTTGCTTGCCTGTGACATGCTGGGCACTGTGCTAAGCACGGGGTATATACAACGGTGAACCAAACAGGCACTGTCTCTGCCTTCATGGGACTTGCAGGCTAGTGAGGGAAACAAAACTAAAGCAAATAATCGCATATGTATATGTGTTTTTACACACTGTATTAAGTTTTTGACTTAAACAACTGGAGGGTGATAGTATCATTTTCTGAGATTAGGTCAACTAGAGGAGAAATGGGTTCGATTCAGGATGAAAACTGAGTTCTGTTTTGGATACAATTAGTTTGAGATGCCTGGTTAGCATCCAAGCAAAGATGCCAAGTCGGCAAGCTGCTGTCTGAGTCTGGTGCTCAGGGAAGAGGTCAGGGTGAGAGAGATGCTTTGGGAGCCATTGACACATGTGCTTTTCCAAGTTAGGGGAGTGGCTGAGATCACCTAAAGGGCAGCAGAGGAGAAGGGAAACCAATCTAAGGCAGAGCCTGGAGCACTGGGTCAGGACAAGGTCAGGTAGAGGAGATGGCTATAACCAGCAAAAAGCAATTTTACATCGTGCTACGTGAAAGAAGCCAGGCATGAAAGACCATATATTATATGGTCCTATTTATATGAAATGTCCAGATAGGCAAACCCACAGAAAGAGAAAGTAGATTAGTGATCACCAGGAGCAGAGAGAGTAAGGGATGGGAGTGACTGCTCATGGGTACAGGGTTTCTTTTAGGGGTGATAAAAATGCTCTGGACTTAGATAGTGATGATGGTTGCACAACTTCATGAATATACTAAAAATTCTTTAAAAGGTGAATTTATAGTATGTGAATTATATCACAATAAAGCTGGGGGGTTTTCCATAGTTCTAAAGAAGGCAAGATTAGATACATTTCAAAAAAGGAATGATCAGCTCTGTCAAATGCTGGCACTGTAAGATGAAAACTAAAAAAAGGTACATTAACTTTAAAAGCCAGAGGTCACTGGGGAACTTAGCTTGTGCAGTATCAGCAGAAGGTATGGGGGAACAAGTCCTGGCAGGAGTGGGCTGAAGACTGAGTGGATGAAATACGTGCATCCAATTTTGCTCCCTCCTGAAACCCCACCAAGAGCACAGTAAAGGGATTTTTTTAAGGCATAAATCCACAAGGACAGGAAAAACAGAAAAGGTAACAACAGTAACACAACTTTGGAAACTGGAAAGCAGACAGGTGACTTAGCAGCCCTGAAAACACTGAATCCTAAGCTAACAGTACAGAAAGCTGAAAACCAACCAAATTTACCCTGAGACATCCTCAAAAGCCCCAGGGATTGACAGGCGTCTCTGAAAGTGGGAATAAAGAGAAAGGGACTGAAATAAGAAGGACTAGCTGAACCTCTGGACATGTGGCCTCTTCTACTACCTGGGCAGAAGCCTAAAATTTTATTTTCTGGAGAGGATAAAACAGAGGGTCTTTGACTATCTGGCCAGGAGGACACCAAGACATCTTTAAAGACACTGTACCAAAAATGGGGATTATACAAAAATATGTATATTGAAAGTTGGGACCATCCCTTTGCCCTGCCGTCTTCCATCCCTTACTCTCATTCAGCTCCTAAAGTGCTGGCAGCCAGCCCTTAATCCTTCAGATAGGAGATTGGAAGAGTCTTCTCTGTGGAAACTGACCAGTCCAAGAGGAAAGACCTAAAGATACCGACATCAGGATTGCTCAACCAATGGCCCAGCCAGGTCTACCAAGAAGTTCAGGGTATACCAGTCGGACCCACACAATAGGAACTTTTAATCCACACAGGCAGACAATAAAGGACTACAGACATCTAAAGAAATTCTCTAGCCCTAAGGATAGACATCAAAACAGGGGGAAAAGATCTTGCTGGAAAGCAGGTATGCAAGAAGAAGAAGAAAAAAATTTTTTTAATTATCAGTAATATGGTCAGAGAGAAAGATATTATAGTCACTTAAAAAGATCACAATGCCAGTTGAAAAAAGAAAATTCAGAAAACAGCTCTTTGAAATTAAAAACTTGCCAGCAAAAATTGAAATGCTTGATAGAAGAATTTGAAGATTAAGTTAGGAAATCTCTGAGGAAGCAGAACAAAAGGGCAAATAGATGGAAGCTGGAAAGAAGAGGTAAGATTAGACAACCTGTCCAACAGACAGCCGATGTCTGATTACGGGCGCTACAGAAATTTGGGGTGAGAAAGTGGGGGGAGGAAGTCATCAGCCATACAGCTCAGCATTTCCCAGAACAAAAGGGCCTGAGTTTCCAGATGAAAGGATCAGAAATGAGAGCAGCCTCAGAATTCTCAGTAGCAAACACTGGGAGCCAAAAGGCCATGGGGCAATGCCTTTCATGTTCTGAAGGCACGTTATTTCCAAGCTAGAATTCTATCCCCTGTCAAACTATTCATCAAGGAGAAGAGTAGAATAAAAACTTTCCAGACAGATGAAGTCTTAAAATACCTACCTGCATACCCTCCTTCTGCTAGAGGATATGCTCCATGAAAACGAGGGAGGAAACCAAGAAAGCAGAAAGCAAGGGATAAAGGAAACAGGGACCCGAGGATGCCAGCTGTGCACCCGCAGAGAGGCCATCGGGCCTGCCTGGAGCCAGGCAGAGGCTCCATTGACAGAGCATCTAAGTGACTGAAGATTATGAGAGGAGGGGGAGCATCGGGATGAAACACTTATAAATAATATAATAAATGAATCGACTGTAATAAGACAATTTCAGGGGTAAGAAAAAGCACAGAAAAGTAAAAGTAGTCATGGCCTATACTGTGGCTCAGCTCAGAACAGTAAACTTACTCAAAACAAAGCCAACACTGAATACTGAGCTAACCAAAACTGTAACTTCCTTGGGAGGATGGGGGAATTAGAAATGGGAGCAAGAAGAGGTAAAAGAAAACAAAATCCTGGTCTTCCAGAATAGGACGTCAAAAGATAATGTCTAAAACTGAACAATCAGGAAGTATCAATACATGCTTGTTGTTTATAAACACGGAGGTGAACACCCAGAGAATGAACCAAAAGAGTTGAAGATTGTTCTCTTTGGGAAAGAAATGGAGCCCAGGGTACTGGGGTTGCTATTTTTCTGAACAAACCTTGTAGGACAAGTTAACTCTTTATGTGAATGAGTGATTTTGGCGAAAACAAAACCTTTAAAAAAGTGATGAGTTCTAAAGGATGTAACAGTGACAGCCAGAGTAGCAGCTCTGGGAGCTTGACTGTGAAAGGGAGCAGAGATGGGTGAGTGGGTAGAGAAGGATGTGGACGACATGGGTGTTCTAACGGAGGAGGTGAGGGAGCGGGGGCTTGTGCGGATGGTAAAGATCCAGCTGAATGAGGGAGACTGAAGATGGGGAAGCGGGAGGGGTGATGGATGGAGTCTCCTGCCAACTAGTGTTGGGACTTGCCTCCAGTCGGCAGAACAGTGCCTCTAACGGGAGCGCAATATAGGACAGGGGTGCAGTGTTACACAGGTTTGTAGATTTGGTTACAGAAGGAGAGGGAAAGCCTCTTTTCTCCTTGTGGCATAGCCATTAAGTTAAGAGTCAGAGGGAAAGGGACAGAGAGGATGAAAGGGAAAGTGAGAATATGATCTATTCCCTGCTAAGTGGGAGGAGAAAGTTGCTAACAGGAGATAACTGTGCATCTGAAAAGCATGAGTTGAAGTTGTAAACTTTGGTGGCCTGCATGGTACCCTAAAGTATGCTCAATAACTGAATTTTCAAAAAAACAAACCAACGCATAGAAGAAAAGGAAGGAAGGAAATAAAATTTTAACAGTGATTACGTCTGAATACTAGAACTGCAGGTTTCTTCTCTTCAGCTATTCTCTATTTTTCAATTTTGAAAACTACTCATATTGTATGTGATGATGGAAGTATTAATCTTTATTTTTCAAAGGGAATCCTAAGTTTTGGTTTGTAGTACCAAGCAGTATATATTGATGACACTATGTTCAAGAGATAACACTTATAGCAAAACATCAAAATAACCTAAATGCTCATGGAGAACTGGTAAAATAATTTTGGCATACATGCACAGTTGAATTCTATGCAGCTGTTAAAAGAGGAAGCACTGTATATGCTGGTATGGAAGTTTCTCCATGATACATTATTAATAGATAAAAACAAAATAATGAGCATTGCATACAGTATCTACCATTTCTACAAAAAGAGCTAATATGAAGTATAAAATTTTATATAGAAGGATCAATAAAAAGAATGTGGTAGATGTACACAAGCTGATATGGTAACATCTTCAAAATATACTGAAAAAAGAGAGTATGCAATGGTGAGTATAGTATGCTCCCATTTTGTAAAAAAAAAAAGGACAAGTGACTATATACATAAAAGGCATAATTCAGAAGCTGGTAAGGACAGTTGCCTCTGGGAGGGGGATTTCTTCAATTAAAGGGATAGTAAACACTCCGTCGCAACCAGAGGGGCAGCTGACCCGCACTGGGGTGAGAGCAGTAAGTGCCGTGGTACCCAGAGTTGCCGACCTGTTCAAGCATCACAATGGACTCCCGGAGCACTCCTTTTAAATGATGGGCCTGGTCTGTGCTCTTTCGAATTTCTTCTGTTCTTGACACCATATTGGAGGCCAAACTGAAAGAAAAATACCATCTTAAAAATCGAGGGAATAGCTTCTAGTCTTTCATTTCAAGAAATCATCAGTGCCCTATAAGTCTGCAGACAAAGCAAAAAAGTTTATGACTGCAGAATAGTTTGGTAGACCAAAACCTCTAAAACTGGAGTTAAATTTTATGCAGCAAAGGCATTATTGAAATAATAAGAGGTTGGGGGGAAGAAAAGACTTACTTTGAAGATTTCTCTTCTCGGAGGTGAAGGCGGTAAAAGGACTGAGCAGCGGATTCTATCTTTGACAGCTTCAGAAATAGCGTCACATTCAATAAAACCAGCAACAGCAAACTAGGTGGCACAAATCACACCTGATTAATCTGCTCTTATTCAGACCCAAAGCATTGTTAATACAGAATATACATGCAAAAGCTTTAAAAATGTGTATTATCCGTACTAGTTTCCAATTATTATTATTTAAATCAAGTATTCTTATTTTCTTTTATGAAATAATTACTTTTCAGTATTAAGTGGATGTTGAGGGAAAAGCTGGAAGGTAATTAGTGACAATGAAGTCCTCAAATAAGCAGACTGGGATTGACCGCGACATCTCTTCTCTCTGCTAGGAAGCCCGGCCAGTGCTGACGTGTGACCACCAGCTGAGAAATCCACCGTGTTAGCTTTCAAGATCTATTTTTGGGTGCTTTTGTCTTAAGTAATTACACAGGCATAATACTGCACTTCAGAAAGGAAATGATCAATATGGATTTGATCTTAGGTAGACTGTGATGTACCTCTTATTACCAGTGGAAGCCAAAACAAATTTTATAAAAATCACCATTCAGCAAAATTTCTTCTAGTTCAACTTAGACAAAGTGTCAAATCCCAAACATACATTAATGGTGTCATATATAGAATGTTACGTGTTAAATGTACTTACTCTGTTGGTTCTCACAGAAGCATTTCAAATGAATGAATGTATCTCTAATTACACACACATGCACATATATAAGTGGCATCATATCTCTCATCTTTTCTGTTAAAATATTGACTTCCCCTTAAAAATACACAGAATTCACCTTTGCCCATCCAGAAGAAGAAATTTCCTACATGAAAACTAAGGTAGTAGCAAGAAAATCAAATCTATGAAATTACTGTGGCACTGAAATGGTATATAGACCAACAGTTCAACATCTGACTATAAATTTTCAGCAAAGTAATACAACACATCACAGATAACATTTACTATTCAAAACTGTCATAGCAAACCAACTGAAGCAGAATGTAGAAACCATTTATAAAACTCAAAGACACAACAAACATTTTCTATGTTCTCAAGTCAATAATTAGGAAGAACAGCTGATATAAGAACTTCATTTCAAAAAATACACAGAGTGTATCACCCAGTCAGAAGCAATTCTATCAAATCTGATGGACTACCTCATGATTCGAGCACAGTGGAGTGGGTACAGCTCAGCAGTAGAGTGTGTGCTTAGCATGCACAAGATCCTGGGTTCAATCCCAGTACTTCCAATTAAAATAAATAGGTAAGTAAACCTAGTTACCACCCCCCTCAAAAAAAAACCCAAAAAACAAAAATAAGCAACAACAACAACAAAGAAAAAATTAAAAATAAAAAGATTTAAAAAAAAACATTCAAGTACAGCCATGGAGATAACAGTAGTCTAACTATGACTGGCTGAGTAGATGCCAATAGAGATTCAGACTCACTGCCCCAGTATTTCTCGCCGTACGATCCTTGGGTCGCTTGCACCAGAATAACCTGCGTGGTGTGTTTTAGGTAAGTACTCATTCCAGATCCCTACTTGAGACCTACTGACTTACTCTGTAGGATTGGGGCTGAGAAAGCTGTATTTTAGCAAGTGATTCTTAAAGGGTAAGGACCTCTGGTCTAAACAGAGTGAAACAGCATTACTGGGATTTCCCCAGCCTGAACGTATAAATGTTGCCTCTACATTTAGGGAACTTGCCGTAAAAACCTATGATGGTAGAAACAAATCAGATTAGTTTAAAAAACAAAAACATTTACTGAGCCTGTGTTTGGTATTCCCTCAACTTTAACAGTTACTCTGAAAATCATTCAAAAACTATCAGACCAAAGCGTATAAAATTACTGGTTTTACAGGTCAAAATTGTTCAAATAGTGCAATCTCTATACAATAATACAGATACGGTCAAATCCTTTTGAAAACCATTAAAAGACAAGTGAAGGCACAAGTAATAAGCATTCAAAACAAATACTTACAGATTTGGATCTCCAAAAACAAACAAAAAACCAAATACTCACAAAATACTCATTAGCACGATAAGGATGGTATTATGGCTCTCAATTTCCTTTTTCTTTCCTGCAGATCACAAAAAAAGGCCACATTAGAATCAAAACTGTGATTATAACTGGTAAAAGTTTAATTCTACTTGAAAAAAAAACAGAAAAGAAACTTTTAAAATTATTTGTAAAGACAAAGTGATTTAGGGTGAATTCCCTGCACCCTCTCATTTGATTTCTGATATCCTCAGTAATACAAAACAAAGTTACAAAAAGAAATCCTGTATCAGTCCTGCAAATTTGGCCTATATTACAAATCAGTTTGTTCTAAAATTAAATACGCAATGCAATATATCATGTACAATCTCTAGCTAAGTTCCATCTCTGCAAATAATATTTGAGCTAGGTTTATGTATAATGCTTCCCTCCTTAAAAAAATATTTTAATCATCCTTATCTGTCCTCTGTTGCCCAAACTTTTAAATTCCAAAATTAAAGAGCCATTAATTTTAAATGGCAGAAAAGCATATTCACACTAAGATATAGGCCTTAGAAGAGGATTTGATAATGTAGGATGAGAAGGTCTGACAGGTTCATAGCTCTGAGACGGAGGGAATAACAGTAGGGGCAGGATGTCTTCAAAATTGAGGGTGGGGAAAAACAGAAGTCAAATTCCATGTTTACAGTTTTGCTGGGCTGGCCCTGACAGTACATAAGGATTAAAAGCATACAGTCATTGTAGTAGATTCCAGGGTAGAAATCAAATGTCTGTAAATGCTTGGCAGGAAATTAATGAGTGAAGCATCCAGCAGTGGGTAACAGTGGTGGCGACTGGTGACCTGGGGGAGCGCACACTCAGTCAATGGGCAGCTACTACTAAGTTCCAACTGACTGTTGCTATGAAGGGATGTGGGTCCAGGGCTGTCATATCTGAGTTTTTATATAAAAATGTCCAATTTTTAAATTGCTATGTGGGCCCAATAAAATATTTCTTTGGCCACACACCCACCATTCTGCAACTGCTCCTTTACATTTATATTGTAGTTACCGTTAAGGAATTCAGAGTTGGACAAACATTATCAGCAAAGAAGAGGAGAAAGGGAGAGCTCCTAATTGACACTGTCATATAAACAAGAAGCATATTCTGCTCCATATAAGTAAACTGAAATCTTTCATCTCTGTTTACCAGGTAACAGCTACCTGTAATATCCCCTTTGGCATCTAAGCCCATGTCTCCAGAAGAACGCTGAGAGGAAAGTTTAGGAGCTGCTTCTGCTGTTCTGTTAAATGTTCGCCTTCTCCTTCGCAGGCCACTAAGCTTCCCAGGGTCTTCAATGGACTGATTTATCATAGATTCTTCCATTAACAAATCTGATTCTAAGAAGGAAGAAAATCTTTAAGCAGTGGAGAAACCATCTCAACTATAAGACACAGGGGGATTGGTGGTTGTTTCATTTTCAGGTTTTTTTTTTTTCTTAAATCTTGGTAACTTTCTTTAACTATTACTTAGTTTCTTAATGCCTAGATTGAAACCTTACTCTTTTTTTTTTTTAATGGAGGTACTGGGGATTGAACCCAGGACCTTGGGTATGCCAAGCATGCGTTCTACCTGAGCTATACCCACCCCTGCAAACCTTGCTCTTAATGAAAAGTTTTGGACTGTACAGTGATGAAACTTCATTATTCTAGAAAGAATGAACTGTATTATTTATAAATGATGGAATTATCAGAGCAAATTCACTGTGTGCCTTACTAAATATTAATGTAACAATTTTAGCTATGGAACCAACAGGCTACCCACTTATAGTGGATCATTAGAAAGATTTCCAAGATAGATTATAGTACTTGATTGTCAAACTCAAAGCATACAATAGTTCTAATTTACAATGAGGGTTTTCAAAAAAGGAAGCACTAGTAAAGAAAATCTGTAAACAACCAAAAAACCTCATTTTTGTCATCTGTTTCAACCTTCTCCTTCACCAGATTTTTTATCATAAGCTCATTATCCAGTGGCCAAAGTCATTTTTCAATTTCATTTTGTTTGCTCCTGATTAGGAGTTTAATAATGAAATAGTCAAAGAGGCAAAAAAAAAAAAACAACCAAACATAAAATAATCAACAAACTGGATGATGAAGCCTTAAATTACCCTGAGTTGACTGGCCAACCAGCTTTTCTTTAACTAGAATTAATTATGCTCATCTATACATATATATATTTTTCCCTCATGGTATATTTTAAGGAATATCCAAGCAGAACTAAATTGCTTCCCCGAGTCAAGTGCCCACCTCCACCAAGTCCACACATGCACATGGTACCACTGCTAAGTGGGCCTGCATTAATCCAGGAGAGCAGTGTTGGTAAGGGAGGTGTGGGTCCAAGGACTCTCGGACCTTAGCACAAGTGCATATCTGTGATCATGTTACTCAGTCCCTCATTATAGTCGCTTCCTTGGCTCCTTGCAGAGGGAAGAGTGTGACATCTCCTGACTGTGTGATCTGAGACAAGTCACTTAACTTCTCTCTCTGTGTTTCAATACTTCTTCTTCAGTAAAATGGGGGGAAAGTACTTATATCTCACAGAGTTGTAATGAGTTGATATTTATAAAGCGCCCAGAACAACGTCTGGCTTATAAGCATTATTTAAGTGTTTGGTAGACCAATGAAAACTAGAAGTTTTGAAATTCCAAGTGGGGTAGTTGGAACCACTTCAGTGGGAGTTATTCCAACATCATCGATCAGTTCCTGCTATGAATCCAAATGAAAAGTTAATCCATTCTGTTAATAAATGCCATCTCACAAAAGTAGATAAATCAAGAAATTGACAAACCAAGCTGTTTGAAATAGTCCGCCAATGAACTCCAGGTATTCTTCTCAATTAAAGACTTGACAATGGCCCACGGTTGTTTTTTGTATTTCACATCTGTGGAAACCCTAATGAATAAGGAGGAAAGAAGAATATTTAAAGGACAGGATTTAATTATATTAACATTGCAATTAAATGTAAAATTGAATTCAGGGGAAAGCCAAAAGGATTTAAAGTCATTACGATTATTAAAAAAAAATTGTTCATCGATAATGACTTCTTTAAAAAATTACTGGGCACTGCTAATAATTTCATCAGATTTTCCTTCTAAAAACTTGGTATTTTATTTCTTTCCTTTCTCACACTCTGAATTTTCTTTACTTAAATATCAATAAAGGCTCAAAATAAGTTTTAAATTTTTTACATGCCCTGTATAAAAAGCCTCCAGTGGTCACACATTAGTTGAAAGTAGCTACACCAGCTGAGATGAGGCCACGCGTGCGATGGCCCAGCGCTGTCTTCAACGCACCCACGTTTCTGATTCCCCAGTGCAGCAGAGTTGTCTACCTCTCACCACATGCTCAAGTATCCCAGCCCCTCTGCCACTAAACAGAGTCCTGTGACCAGTTCTGGCCACTGGACTCTGAGCACAAGTCTACAGCTCTCTCTTCCTGTGGCAACCGAAACGACACATATTCCCAATCGTGCAGCTCCAGGATGTAAAGTCTTCTTCAGCCTGGGACCTCGAGTGAGGATCCCCATCCCTCTGCTGACCACAGCTGGACATGTAATCTGAGCAAGAAATAAAGCTTTGTTGTGTAAAGCTACTGCTAAGGTTTCAGGATTAATATGTTACTGGGGCATTATCTAGCCTATCCTGACTAAAACACTCATGTACAGCAGCTCACCTCAGCCGGCATTTCTGCTTTGAAGATCGGATGATACAGTATCTGTTCAGGGTATAGAAGTAATCATGGTAGGGGACATCATGTGTCAGTACTTCTGCATCTACCAAATAAAATTGTGCTTCCCGGCTGTCTTTATACAGTCTCTGCCAAAATAAGATTAATTATTTTTGCATGTACGTGCTTCATACATCAAATTCCTTGCCAACTTAGAACATACAGACTAGCATTCCTTCTCACAAATTACAAAAGACATGAGAAGCCCATGTGCAAAGCCAGAAGAGCTGCATGTTAGTTGTGCGTTCTATGAATGAAGAAGGGACCTGCAGAAATAGGATTTGCCACCTCTTTATTATTTCATTGTATACCTATTTTTTTCTTTGAGGCATGAGAAGAAAGGAACCATATCATCTCTTATGGGTAGTATTAGTTTATAAAGAATTTTAAATGTTCCTGGTAGAGGAACAATTCAAAATTCAATTAAACAAAAGCAAAGACTCCACCCAAAAATTAATCAAAGTTTAACAAAACCACCCTTCACCAGAAAAGTGAAGGGAGGAGATAACCAAATAAAACATTGTTTTCCCCAATCAGGATGTGAAGTGGTTGCTGGTCAAACCTTTCTCATTTTACCCTTACCTGTTCTACTTATCTTCTGAGGTTATCAAAGACTCTCCAATACCAAAATACCAAACTTTTCTTAAATGTTTGAAAATCTTTTGAAGAAAAAATTTTAAGTCCTTTTTAACACTAACAGGCAAAAACTACGGTAGCACAACTAATTCAGATGTTAAAAGATATTTTCTAACTTTGCAGAACAGATACACTATACTTCAACCCAAACTGGCCAAACACAAACCCCACAGTATGACAGAGCCACTCTGGTCACAGAGTAGACAGGACATTAAATAACTTACAGCCTCCTCCTCTTATGTCAGAGCAGTCATCTAGTTATTTGGCCCTAATCTCCTGTAAATCAGATTCCAGTAGTGTCTTTTTTTAGACCATTTATTATGAAAAATTTCAAACGTATACAAGAGTAGAAACGAAGTATGATGAACCCTCCTAAGCTCATCAACCAGCTTCCACAGCATCAACTCCTGCCTAGTCCTGCTTCATCTGCACCCCTCCCCCAAGCCCTCCCTCCACCACCATCCTCTGTCTTGTCAGATTACTTTTAAAAGAGATCCTGGACATCAATATAAGTTCACCCATAAATATGTCAGGATATCTCTTTATAAATTCTTCAGTATATCCCTTTAAAAGATAAATAATCTTTTCTTTAAAATATAGCTACAATACCATTATTGCACATAAAAATGAACAATTCCTTAAATCTCAGAAATACATGTTTACACTTGCTTTGTTTGAATCAGGATTGGGTTGATTTGGCTGATATACTTCTTAAATATCTTTTAAACTGCAAACAGTTTCTCCTCCTTGCCATTTATCTGTTGAAAGTGTCCTGTAAATTGGTGACTATGACAGGCATCTTCTCTCTTCCCACAAGCAATTCTTTTGAAATGCCGGCACTGTAGACATACCTGCTTTTCAGTGGCAGTGGTGCACTTTCCAGTTAGTGGATTATTAAGGACTATATTGTAGGTCATGGTTCTCAGTTGGTCACCTCCAGGTTCTACATTCCAAGGGGTAGATACTACATCTAATCACAGCAAATATAAAGAGTTAGTTCTAGAAATTTGAAGGGTATGGCTTATAATGGAATCAAAGAAGAAGCTTTGAATTATTTTAAGTTTTATTCTTGAGCAGTCCTAACTTCCCTGTAAGTGTGTTATTAGTTTAAAATTACATGTTAGGTACTCTTCTTTTATGTGACATATACCCCATCTCTGATTCATTTACTTCTGAACTGTTGTCTATTGATACACTTTTTTTTCCTTTTCTCTAGAAGATAAAATTAAAAGTCGTTTCACCCATAGGCTTCTTTGTAAAGTTCCCTGTACCTGTGAAGAGAAGTAATGGTGCTGGCCTTATCTAACAGAGACAGAACGCTTCAACATTTCCAGTGCTGAGGACAAAACCCTGAAAGACATTTGTCTTTATGCAGCAATATGAGCTGATCCCAACTTGTGGAGAAATCATGTCAATGAGAAATCACATAATGTTAATGGCGTATCTGCCAAGATCTTTAATCCGGGGGGGGTGCGCTGTAGTAGAAATAAACAATATAACCTTTTCTATATTAAGAAAACTATAGAATAATCTCTCTGTACTTACAGCAAGATCTTGGTCAAAATTTTCTTTTGTTTAGCTACAACACAGTGAGTAAAAACTTACTTTGAACAGAAATATATCTTTAGAACATAGCACCAGACAGCAAAGGTCACTTAACAAGCTAGGAAAACATCAGTAACAGCATCATGAACTCTACTCAAAGATCTGACTCAATTGCCTAATGCTGTCAGCACAATGGACTTAGGCAATTAGTATGTTTGGCTGATAGTCATCAAATCCTAAAACAGAGAAGCCTTTATCTAACCCACTGCCCATTACCAAAGGAATGAAGCAACACTTCATGATATATCCAATTTTACTCAACCTCTTTGATACGGCTAGGTCTAGGGATTTAATAAGAGATCTTGAAGTTGGGTTGTGCATATCTAGAAAAATTCTTCAAGTAAATTAAAGAGACAACATCACAAACCATGGAATCTGTAATAAAGAAATTGCTGTAGAAGTGATTTATTTTAGGTGTGCAACAAAGAAGATACAAAGTTAATTCTAAAACGCTTTTCAAAAGATCACTTTGGTCATATGTCAGCCTGTTTTAGAAAAACTATACAAACAATCCATTGTTAATCAGCAATAGAATTTAAAGATGTCATTGAATTCTGCCACTGAAACTGCACACCATTCAACAAAGCAACTATCAACAAAGATAAAAGTGTCTCTTCCACTTGTATTTTCACCAATGTTACCAACAAGCCTACGGAATATCATGTGCCAGAACATCATCTAACAAAATTTTGGACTAGTCAAGCCCCCAATACCTAGATAAAGCTCATCATGATACAAAAAACTGGGGAAGAAATTAAAGGAAAAATGGCAACAGTATACAAAAAGACATATGCGCCATTTTGATATAATGAGTTGAAGTAATTAAAAAGCAAGAATTGCATACAGAATAAATAAACAACAAGGTCCTACTGCATAGCACAGGGGAACCATATTCAATAACTTGTAATAGCCTATAAAGAAAAAGAGTATGAAAAAGAATTATATATATATTGTATACCAGAAACTAACACAACATTGTAAATCAACTATACTTCAATAAAAAGAAAGAAAAGAGAAAAAAGCAAGATCTGCAGAACAAGTAATTTAAGAATCCTCTCATGTAATTAAGTTTTAAAATTGGTGAATCTTCACACCCATTAGGATAATTATTATCACAAAAAAACTGAAAATAAGAGTGTTGGCTAGGATGAGGAGAAACTGGAACCTTTATGCATTACTGGTGGGAATGTAAAATGATGCAGCCATTGTGGAAAACAGTATGGCTGTTCTTCAAAATATTAAACATAGAACTACCTTATGAGCCAATTCTACTTCCAGGTATATTCCCAAAGGAACTGAAAGCAGGGACTCAGATACTTGTATATCAGTGTTCACAGCAGCATCACTCACAATAACTAAAAAGTGAAAACAACTCAAAACTCCACTGACATACGAGTAAGTATACAATATGTGGCACAGACATACAATGGTATAATATTCAGCCTTAACAAGGAATGAAATTCTGACACATACTACTACATGCATAAACCCTGAAGACACTATGCTAAGTGAAATAAGCCAGTCACAAAGACAGAAACATTGTAAGAGTCCACTTACATGAGGTACCTAAAGTAGTCAAATTCGTAGAGACAGAAAGTAGAATGGTCATCGGGAGATGCGGAGAGGGGGAATGGAGAGTCATTGTTTAATAGGTACACAGTTTCGCTCTGGGTAGATGGAAGAGTTCTAGGGATGGGTGATGGTGATGGCTGCACAACAATGTGAATGTATGCTTAAAAATGGTTAAATAGTAAATTTTATGTTATGTACATTTTATTGCAATAAAAAAAGACTGGTGAATCTAGGTAATAGGTATAGATTTTATTATACTATTTATGCAACTTTACTCAAGATTCATATTTTTTCAAAAATAAAAAGTTGAATAAAAAGACTTAAAATTGAGCTTTGAATGACAAAAGTAGTGTCATACAACTGTAAGCAAAGATTTAAAAGAATATCAATTTAAAAGCTCTCTAACTAAAAAAAAAAATACAGTAATAGCCATGTTAGTGCTGCAAGTAGGTTAAATCCACAAATAACTGACAACACTAAATTTTTTTCATTAAATTCTTAGTATTTTTTAAAGGAAGACTTTGAAACCCGTTCTCAAGAAATAAAACTTTGATACCCAGGTAACAGGTTCAGAAGATAGCATAATGCTGTGCAGTCATAAACAGATTATCCCTTTTGGGGCAAATCCTTTGACTAATTCTAGGTCTAACAGCAACTTGTCTGGGAGTGTTTATACTTGGGATTAGCCAAAGCCATTTATAACATCAGATAGCAAATACAGCTATTCAAATTGAAGCTAGATATGCTATCAGACACCAAATGCAGCTGTGATTCAAAAAACAAACTCCATTTAGTATCATCGTGGAATAACGTACCAGTTCCTTGAGGGCTTTTCAGCCATAAAAATGGCAGTGCAATATTAACAGTCATCATCTTAGAAAATTAAGAGAAATAATGTATCAAACGCTTCAAATACCAAGTTCTTCAGGTAGACATGAATAGCAAGAAAATACCAAATAGATTCAGGACAGATATAACAAGTTATAGATATACTACTACATATAAAATAGATAAATAACAAGGACCTACTATATAGCACAGGGAACTATATTCAATATCTTGTAATAACCTATAATGGAAAAGAAACTGAAAAAGAATATATACATATACATATGTATAACTGAATCACTTTGCTGTGCCCCTGAAACTAATACACTATAAATGAGCTTTACTTCAATAAAACATTTTTAAATAAGTTAAGTATAAGCCACTGAGTGAAAAGAAAGATTTATAGCCCTCAGGTATTCCACATTTTTAAAATTGGAAGAACAGCAAAAATTAATGACTTCTGAAAACATGGCATTCTTAATATAATCACAAGATTCAATACATACCAATTAGAAATTGTTTTGCTACTCTACTATGAAAGTAAGGAAAAAATTTTTTTGTATCTAGAATCCCTATCAATGATGTAATCTATGAATATGTAACTATGGTTACATAAACCTTTCAAATAAAGGAATAATATCTAGTGGCTAATAAAATGGCTACATTATAAACTACATTTAAATTGATCCTAGAACAACTTTCTCTTTGACTATGTCAAACGACTCAGCTCATACGGATCTCTGCTAGTGCAGCTGTCAAATTAATTTTATAGAGCAAGCTAAATCATGTGCTCCCAAAGTTTATAAAATACCTTGAAATATTTAGGATAAATTCAATTTCCAATTAATGACAAGTTTATTTGAGATGTTAATCAAAACAGAACTCTGAACATTTAATCAGTGAAATCTGTTTTATAACTGATTTCCTAACTAGAACATTTTTGGTAGTTTCATTAAGGTAGACCATAGACATTGCAATCTCAAATCTCCATGAAATTGCACAGAGAAAACACACACGTGTACCACTACCCAGATCAACTTGGGGAACTTTACCAGTATCCCAAAAGCTCCTTCCCAGTCTTCACCCACCCAGATACCCACAGCAGTTAACTACTGTGCTGATTTTATTTCCATAAATTAGTTTTGCTTGTCTGTGAACTTTGTCCAAAGAAATCACGGTATGTACTCTTGTGTCTTGCTTCTTTTGCTTAATAACAGCAGTATATCTGTAAGATTTACTCAAACTGTTATAAGTAGCAGCAGTTTGCATTTTTTCATTGCTGTATAGAATTCTTTCGTGTAAACATACACAATCTGTTCATCCATTCTATTACTGGTGGATATTTGGGCTGTTTTGAGTTTGGGGGTCACTATAAATAATGCTGCTATGAACACTGCAATACATGTCATTCAAAGTACACATGTACCTGAAGGATACATATACCTAATGAAAGACTTGCTGAGTCAGCTTTAGTAGATACTGCTAAACCATTTCACAAAGTGATTGTACCAATTTATACTCTACTAGAATCTAATTGTTACACAGTGGAACCCTTTTAAACAGGGTTCAACCCAATTAAACTGCTATATTAATAAATAAAGGGAATTTTAGTTCTCAAAAGTGTCTGAACTTAACTGTAGGTAGGATCTAAGTGACTGAACAATTATACTATTTATATGTGAATTTAGCCAAAATATCTAAATACTAGTTTATACATTACCAAACTAAGATCAAAGCCCGTCTAATTTTTCCCCTGACAACATAAATCAATTTATATACGCTCAACCCACTAAGGATAATAAAATTCTCCCAAATTTATCATTAGATAAAAACACAAGACCAACCTATTATATTTCTAGAATTGGAAAATCTCTGCATAAAACGTGAACTGGTGAAGAGCAATTCAAACATCCTCTCAGCACTGATATGAAAAACACGGTTGATATAAAGTCTTCCACGAAGATCTTTCTCAGGAATATTTTCTGGAGAAACAAAAAAAACAGAACAAAAAGGGAAGAAAATCAAGGAAAGGTAATTTCAAGGTTTTATTTGTTTGGGAGCACAAAATGGTTTTTAAATGTGAGTACAATGATCAGCACATTAGAGGACTATTAAAACTATGGTTGATATTATATACATGTGTACTCTGTATAACTATAGATAATGATGTATAGCAATTAATATGTATATGTATATGATCAATATGTCAGTCATCAAAACCCAAAAATATAGAAATATTTAACTTGAATCATATCAAACTCCCATAATACATCATTCAAAAGAATATCTCAGGAATTTGTGTGTCATCCATGTGCAGGGGCCATGCTAATCTTCTCTGTATCATTCCAATTTTAGCATACATGCTGCCAAAGCGAGCACTCAAAAGAGTATTTCAAAAGTGACAAGGGCAATACTGAGACACACAGGGTGGTATTTACCACAGCAATTAGCAGGTACTATTTCTGAATGCTCACATATAAAATCATGAATGGCTCTAATATCTTCTGCACTCACTGACTTACTAGCCTGAATAATATTTCAAACTTGACTTAAAGCTCACTCCCCAAGACAAGTATCACTGTATTCACAACCTATTCTCAATAACACACATTAAAAAAAAATCCTTCTGGAAAGTATCCTTCAAAGCTAAATAAAGCCCAGTGGAATATGACATTCTTCTAAGAACCTGACCGATAATGATGCTTAAAGTTCTTGCTAGTGAGTGAAGAAGCAACAGCTGCTCATCTCTCCTCATATTCCCTGGAAACACTATATAAAATAGCCCATGCATCTGTGATGCTCACCATATGTCAGGCATTGTGCTAAGCGCCCTGCAAGTATTCACTTATCTCATCCTCACAGCAGTCCTGTGAGATAAGAGGAACGAACATCTTCATCTCCATCGTATAGATAAGGAAACTGAGGCACTGAGAGAGCTGCCAAAGCTCCAAGGCAAGTAAGTGACTGACTTGGAACCTGAATTCACTCCAGCTCCAGAGCACACAAACAACCTCTATTTTATACTTCAAGGAGTTTAACTTAGAAGAAAAGAAAAAGGACAGCTAGGAATAGGAGCCTGGTAGAATTACAGAAAATAGAGTAAAGTAATCCAGTGTGAAATTTCAGTGGTTTCAGGACTGGAATTATTGATTATTTCAAGGATTTTGCCCCATCAGGACAGAATAAAACTGTGACAAAAGCTCCTCATATTTCAGAACTCAAGCTCTAAGAATTATCTGTGTCAAGCGTCTATCCACGTTAAGCCATGGAAGGCAGTCTCACAGTAAAAGGCAGTGGTCTAAGAATCAGAAAAACTCTTCTAGCTCTGCCTTCCTTCACCCCACCTATTGCTTTTTCTCCTCCGTGAAATGGTTTGTGCCTCCCTATTTTGCTGCAGGTGCAAAGAACTTAGGGATCTCAGGTAGATATTGATTTACCTTCTCCCTGCAACAATACTATGCGTAGGCAAAAGCTCTCACTGCAATTTCAAGTAATGGCTCCTTTGGCATAGAAATGAATCACTGTAACAAGGCAATTTGCTAAGGTTCTGTGAGGTAACTTCCCAATTAGGCTGAGAAATAGCTTTTTCTGACACAGAAGTAATACACGTTCATTGTAAAAATAATTCGTATACTCATAGAGAGCAAACAAGTATAGGTGGGTCTGTTGATCCTGCCCATCTCCTTCACAGAGCTCATCCTGACTTGTAATTATACTTTTACTGGCTTAGTGATCTGCTTATTGACTCTCTTCTCCTGCACTAGACTCTAAGTTCCATCTGAGCAGGGACCATGTTGATTTCAAACACCTAAGTACATTACGTGCTTGGCACACAGTAAGTGTTAAATAACTTTTTTAATGAATAAGTGACTATTGAAAACACTAAAAATATCTGAGGGTCTGTTTTTATTTATAGGACTTTGAATTTGCAACCATGTTTTTTCTTTTATTTTTTTAAATTAATTTTAGATGTACAATTAACTAAATGAGGCTTTATTCCTATTTTTTCCAGTAATGTCTTTTTCTGTACGAGGATGCAGCCCCAAATACCATGTGGCATTTAGCTGTTATCTCCTTAGTGTTCTCCAACCTATTGAAAGTCCTTCACTTTTTCCTTGTTTCTCAGTGGCCTTGCATATCGAAAAAGTCCTGGTCAGGTATTACAGGGAATGTCCTTCAATTTGGGCTCATGTGAGGTTTTTTCATGACTAGACTGGGGTTTGGATTTTGGGGAAGAAGACCACAAAGGTGAAGTGCCCTTCTTCTCAAACTCAGAGGGTACACATAACAACATGACTTATGACGACGTTAACCTTGGTTACTTGGTTAAGGTGGCATCTGGCAGGCCTCTCCACTGCAAAGGTACTATTTCCCCCTTTCTATGTTCTTTGTTAGCAGTGAGTCACTAAGTTCAGCCAATACTCAAGGGGAGAGTTAAACTCCACCTCCTGGAAGAGGGAGTGTCTACGTTTATCATTTGGAACCCTGTAAGGCAGACTCATGCTTTCTCCCCCATTTGTGTATTTATTTAATCATTTGGATCAGTGTGGACTGTGAATAGTTATTTCATACTTTAGGTTATAATCTAGTACTAGCACTATTTATTTTGCTGCTCACAGTTTTTTTAATTTGGCCATTAGAAGCTCTTTCAGGCTGACTCCTATGTCTTTCTGACATGCCTCTTTTTTCCTTTCACAAGCACTTCTTTCTATTCTGGCATGACGAGATGTTCCAGGCTCATTCTGTACATTCCCCACCCCAGCCCTAGAGGCAGCCATTTCTCTAAGGAGTCCTGGAACATCAAAAGTAAGTTTCTTGTTCACATTTAAGAAGGAAATAAATTACACTCATATAAGTATTTCAATACAGTATCTTCTATTTCATTTAAACTCCATTATTAGATAAAATGTTCTATATCATGACATAAAAATATAATTTGTGGTATCACTACCAGAAATTAACAGTAATACCTATTGTGTGAAAATCTGTTCAAGGAAGTAAGGATATAAAATAAACTATTTCCATCTGGAATTATTTATTTATGAAAATCATGGTACTTTAAAGCCTCCTATGCAAGTAACATTACCAATAATATTGCTGGAACATATTAAGCTAACAGGTGGCATTTTAAATGGGGAAAGGAACACCATTCAACCCAGTAGGAGGTTGCTAACTATTTCCAATAAAAAAATACTATTTCAAACATATCAATTTGAAAGTGACCAGGCAAAATGGTAGGAAAAGTGAGACAGGTAAGTTTGAGAAGGATGTGGACATGAATAAAACTGAAACCATATGTTGATAGTGTTTTAAGGGTACATGAAAAATGTACTAGGTACGTATGCAAGGAAATGTACTGGGTAGGTAATTTGGAGTTTAATTGAGTAACTAAGGACACACAACTTATCTTCCATTTTCTAAAACTGGTGATCTGCTGTCTTTTTGACTCAGACGGAGGGCTTTCTTTACACCTGGAAGACCAAGTTTAATTTGAGAGTTTCGTTCAAAATCCTGACTTGGGTAACTGGGTCATAGTTACCTGGTTTAGTCTCATGGCTGCTTCCCCGACATGCAAGACTATCCCATGGCTATTTCTCTGGGTTTCCCCAAAGGTCTACTTGTCCTCACCTTTATTAACTCACAAGCACCACCTGATGCTTCCTCTTTGTGTGGCACTGCCTCGAATTCACCTTGTTTTGCCAGCCATAGATCGTGGATTCCAATTTCACTCCTCTGAGGTGCCCCTCCATAATCTCTGCCTGAACCAGCTTCCATTCTCAGCAAAAGTGACTTTATTTAGGGAACCCTGTCACACCAAGTTCTAATCCTAGCCATAGAAAATTGAATTTAACTTTTGTGTTATCATGACCAGCCCAGGTGTCTCATGCCATAGGCCAGTTTATCAGCTTCCACTTAAGGCTCTACCTCCTGGGGCAGGTGTCTCAGGCTATCCACGACATGATAGAGCAGGGCAGGCGAAGACGTAAATCCTGACAGCAACACAAACATTATACTGGTGGAAAACACAGTCGTAATTTCCTTGTATTTGTGGATGTGGATGCATTGTGTCAACTCATCTTCATTTGCCAGGGAAGTCCCAGCATCCTCTCAGATACTCTGAACTCCTCCCCCAAACTGGGCAAATACTTAATAAGCTCAGAAAAGCCTATCAGCAACAACCCTCTAGAAAAATAAGGTTCTGTAGCTCATTCTGTGAGTCATTATATATCAAAGCTTTAAGTTAGTAATACGGTTTAACAGATTAGAACACAAGGCTTAGCATTTTGTTCAGGAGCTGGAAGCCAAGAACCTATTTCTGCAAGTACAGAAATATCCCTAAAAAGCGTACCCTTCCATCTTTGTGGGTTCTATACTGCCCAGTGTAGCATAAGAACATTAAAAAAAGAAGCAGCCAGTCAAAGCAGATCCTAGGCTAACTTCCCCTCTCTGGGCTTCAGTTAAACTCCACACAAAGGGACTGGGCTGGGAGTTACTTCAGCACTCTCCATGAGGCAGTTCCCGATGCTCTGCTCTGTGAGTCCTCTCAGGGACATGTGGGTCTAGAGCGAATCTCTACATCAAAATAGTCCAGAGATCACAGTCTATGGGTGGTAGAAAGAAAAGAGAGAGATCCTCTTATTTTTTCACTCTGCCTGCTCACTATGGTACATCCAAGTACTATCATTTTAAATAAAATGATGTTCAGTTTAAAATAGTCTGCCATCGAGACACGAAGCAAGACACTGTGGAAAACAGTATGGAGATTCCTCAAAAGACTAGGAATAGACTTACCCTATGACCCAGGAATCCCGCTCCTGGGCATATATCCAGAAGGAACCCTACTTCGAAATGACACCTGCACCCCAATGTTCATAGCAGCACTATTTACAATAGCCAAGACATAGAAATAGCCCAAATGTCCATCAACAGATGACTGAGTAAAGAAGATGTGGTGTATTTACACGATGGAATACTATTCAGCCATAAAAACCAACAACGTAATGCCGTCTGCAGCGACATGGATGCTCCTGGAGAATGTCAGTCTAAGTGAAGCCAGAAAGAGAAAGAAAAATACCTTATGAGATCACTCATATGAAGAATCTAAAAAAAAGAAACATAAATACAAAACAGAAACAGACTCACAGACATAGAATACAAACTTGTGGTTGCCAAGGGGGTGGGGGGCGGGAAGGGACAGACTGGGATTTTAAAATGCAGAATAGATAAACAAGATTATACTGTACAGCACAGGGAGATATATACAAGATCTTGTGGTAGCTCATAGCAGAAAAAAAAGTGACAATGAATATATATATGTTCGTGCATAACTGAAAAACTGTGCTCTACACTAGAATTTGACACAACATTGTAAAATGACTATCACTCAATAAAAAAATGTAAAAAAAAAGTGAATGACAAAAAAAATAAAATAAAATAGTCTGCCATCTACCTAGTTCCCTCTAAATCCACATACACACGTCCAGAATTCCTAGGATGGTTTACTTCTTCTGACTTTTCCCACTGTCTCCCCAGTTCATTGACATCAAGTGTCTTCAGAACCTCACAACATTCAGAAGGTAAAAATTAGATTCATTGTAACATCCACTTAATATGATAAGCCTGAGATTTTGGAACCTGCTTAGGAAAAGCAATAGGAGAGTTCGATTGCTTAGCTAATGATAATCTAAGAAGGAAAAAAAAGTCTCCTTATACACCTTTAAGAAAGCCTCCACAAATAGAAGGCTGAATGTTACATGGGAGGTCTTACTACTGCAAAGCCAAAGGGGTGCCAACAAGGAGCAAAATGTGATTGGGGCTCATATGCAACACAGAAACCACGTCGCTACTGCTCTTTATTTCTAGATTTAGACAACAGCTTATATGAGTTTTAATGTTAACTTTTAAGTAACTTATCATTGATGTTAATTTTATAGATACTCAGTAAAGAAACTAAGGATTTTTTTTAAGGACCATTCTTATAAAAGAGAAGGTGAGGGGGAAACAAATTCTTTGTTTTGGTGTCACTTACGTGTCTGGCCACTGGGTGCCAGAGCAGATCTTCCTATGGTTAGAGACTCAGCCAGGCAGGGGATAACTAATTCACACCTGCTGCATATCAGCGGCCAGGACGCTAAGAGCGGCTAGTCATTCACGGTGCTCAAGCCTTCTAAAAAAACTTCCTCTCAACTATCTTTTCAAAAGAACTCAAAAACTGTCTTCTTAATGCATTCTATGATTTTTAGGAACTATTCAATTTTTTTTTCTGTTTTTGAGAGTGTGGATTTGGTTTCCATCAAAGATACTTCAGTATTCCCAAACCAAAGTTGAACCTGATTTGGATTTGATTTTAGACTTGGACTTGATTTGGATTTGATTTAGATTTGACTTGGATTTAGTTTTGGTTTTCACAGATTTGGTTTTCACTAATAGTAACAAACAGACATCAGGGGTTCCCAAACCAGATCTAAGCTGAACAGTAAGTGGACTAGCAAGTACAATCAAGTCGGACAGGTCCAAACCACAATAAGTCCCTATTACTAATACTCTGGTAGAAATATTAAAATAATATGCTGGTACAAAAGCAGGTACAGCAAAACTCCACTGGCATTGTTCCCTTTCCTGAAATTTGAATGTAGTCAGTCACTGCCCTGGTTCTTGATCTTTCCCATTGTCTCCTCACTTCACTGACTTCAATGTCAATAATCTAACAGCTAAAAAAAAAAAAAGATTCCTTAAAATGTCCATTTGATAAGCATGATAAGCCCCAGGCAACTGGTTCTAACTTAGAGAAAGTAAAAAAAACATGATTTGAAACTCTCTCTCTCTTTTGTGGTTAAAGAAAATAGTAAAATTATAGTGTTACACTATGCAGATTTTTATGAAGATTTGTCTCCTCTGGCAAAGTAAACAGAAGCAAAAATAAACAAATGGGACTACATCAAACTAAAAAGCTTTTTCCACAGCCAAGGAAACTATAATCCAAAAGAAAAGGTCACCTACTGAATGGGAGAAGATAATTGCAAACAATACATCCGATAAGGGATTAATATTCAAAATATACAAAGAACTCATACTATTCAACAGCAAAAAACCCCACCCGATTAAAAAAATGGACAGAAGGCCTGAATAGACATTTTTCCAGAGAAAATATACTGATGGCCAACAGGCACATGAAAACATTACTAATCATCAGGGAAACACAAAGCAAAACCACAATGAGGTACCACCTCACACCTGTCAGAATGGCTATTATCAAAAAGACAGCAAAAGGGGGAGAGTATAGCTCAGTGGTAGAGTGCATGCCTAGCATGCATGAGGTGCTGGGTTCAATCCCCAGTACCTCCATTAAATAAATAAATAAGTAAATAAATAAATAAATCTAATTACCCCCCCCAAAAAAAGGATTAAAAAAGATAGACAGCAAATAACAAGTGTTGATGAGGATGTGGAGAAAAGGAAACCCCGTGTACTGTTGGTGATAATGTAAACTAGTACAGTCACTATGGAAAATAGCATGTAGGTTCCTCAAAAAATTAAAAATACAACTACCATACAATCCAGCAATTCTACTCCTGGGTATTTATCCAAAGAAAACAAAAAGACTAATTCAAAAAGATTATATGATACGTACCCCACTATGTTCACTGCAGCATTACTTACAATAGCCAAGATATGGAAGCAACCTAAGTGCCCATTAACTGATAAATGGATAAAGAAAATGCACATATATATACATTTTATATATATATATAATGGAATATTACTGAACCACAAAAAAGAATGAAATCTAGACATTTTGACAACATGGATGGACCTAGAGGGTATTATGCTAAGTGAAAGAAGTCAGAGAGAGAAAGATAAATACTGTATAATTTCACTTATATGAGGAATGTAAAAAACAAAATGATGAACAAACACAACTAAACAGAAACAGAATTCATAGATACAGAGAACAAACAGGTGACTGCCAGAGGGAAGGGCATGGGAGAGGAGAAAAGCAGGTTAGGGAGATTAAGAGGTACAAAGGAAAAAAAGTTTGCTTGTCCATTGCTACTGCTCCATCTCCACTGACTTCAGGTTTGGAATGTTAAAAGTTAACTGTGATGAAGATTTTCAAATTCCAGGCTTCTGAAAAGTAGAAATGACGGGTTAGATTTAGCAGCCCTTTTTCCCTATTTCCTGTTAACTTCCATCCTTCTTTGGTTCTTTATAGAGTGAGATTGTATTTAACGCAACTAAAGTCTCAAGCTGCACACACATAAGACATAAACATTAAAAGATGTAACTTAAATTTTACTAAAGGTTAAATAAGAAATTCTTTACCTTCATCAAAAGAATCTGAAGTGCTGCTTTTGTCTAAAGAAAGATACTCATTTTTATTCACATCCAGTGATTTTGACGGCACTCTACTTAACCTCTTCTCTGAAGTTAGTGAAGGACTCTTGGTCTGTTTTTCACTTTGGGGTTCCTCTTTCCCTAATCCCTAAAAGGCAAACAGTGAGATCTTAAATAATAAAGACACTTTGAAATACTGCTCTTTGAAAAATTTGTCTGCTATGTTTGCATTAAATTTCCAATTCAATTCATAAAATATTGATAGATAGTATAGACCATTCTAAAGTCATCTTCTTACACATTATTGAACAGCAAATGTATGAAGAACATCATACAGAAAGAACTCACAGTTAACAACATGTGACTCATGTAAGTCAAAGGGAAAGGGGACAGAGTTAAAAATAACAGAACAGTCAGTTCTTTGGAGTGCACTAGGGAGAGGAGTCAAACCCAGTTAGTTCCCCAGACAATACCTGCCCCATCATTTCAGAGGAGAGAACTCACCCATCTCTCAAGACCAGTAACTAAAGGGGAAAGGAAAAGAAAATAGAGAGATAAAAGTCACATAAGAGTACAGTGTGGGAGAGAGAATTAAAAGGGAAAATTAATTTCACAGCAAACTCAAGAACACAGTTGCTTTGCTGTTAAGGGACTAAAGAATTGGGCATCAAAATATATTCAATATATAATGTTATCCATACTATCTGGAAATGGTTTAATAAAGATATGTCATTTCTATAATAAATTTAATGTTAGGCTTTAAAGTATGAATGCTATTGCTGTGTTAGTATTCAAGTAGAAAAGAATACTATTATAATTAGGCTTAACAGAACAGTGTGAAAAATATACACTACACAGCAATGTACTTTCTTGTACTGCCTGTGTATAAGCAGATGAAAGAGAGCAAAAACATATATGTAATCTTTATACTCCCTGCCCCAAGAGATCTTGAGCAGCACTGAACAACCGAAGCAGCTCTAGAGAGGATATCAGTTTCCACTGGCCACCGAGAAAGCAGAATAACAACTGGGACCCAGGGCGCAATTTATTAAAGGATTATACTATCCTAGTCAGAGGACTGATTTTTTCAAGCAGAGATTATTGCTAAAATCAAGTCTTGATTTATCTGGGATTTCCACATTACAAGGCAACATGCTTATTTAGCTGACCCAGGGCCTCTTTAGATGCTAAGCAGAGTAAGTTTCCACACATATTTCTCTTGTTTCTAATTAAGATACAGTTCCTATTGTAAAGAGCATGGACAGATACAGGAGAAGTAACAGTCACTATCTTTGAACAGCTGGCATCTGGACAATTTTTCTTTCTTTGTATACTTTTCTACATTTCCTGAATTTTCACAAAGCCTACTTATTTTATAACTTGAGAGAAACTTATTTTCTTCTTCAAAAAATGTTATTTCTAACTTTTTATTATTTACAACCTTGTTGTAAGTAAAAATGAAACAAAATAAGTGACATATGATATTTATGACATCTGAGAATCTTCCCTTACTGCTCTTGAATGCAAAAGGAAGGAAAGGACCAAATCTCTATATTATTTCTATTTCCCAACCTGAAAACATCACGCTAAATATCAATGAATGTATAATCAATCTTAAAACATTAAATTACTCCTCTACATTCCATTCCCTTTCCTTAGAGAAAATATGACTTCCTTTAGGGACAAAACTAGAAGGAAGAACCAACAGGCTGACTATCCCAAGAGTGGGTACAGAAGACATTGTCAAAGAAGCTCTATGAAGGACTCAAGAAATCAGTTCTCAAAGTCAAACTTTTGTAGAAGAATGAGAGGACTGCAAGAGATCCCTTGTCCTGTTACCACCCCAAAACTGAGTGGTTTGGTCTTCTCAGTAGGAATGTATAAAGGGATTAGCATTCAGAATCACCTCCCTTGCACCAACAGTAAGTTCCTAAGGGTATCTTGAAGTTTTACATGAAATCTACAACACAAAATTCAACTGAGATAGATGCTTGATTGTTAAGTTGATAATCTGGTGGGCTTTCACATAAATATATTCTGTTTCAATGTCTTCCCAACATTATTTTCACAGAAGACACTGGGAGCTCCATGAGAGATGGTAGAAAAGGTCCAGTGCTGGCCACACACAGATTCACCTTCCATTATGATCTGCTTATGGTCACTGAATACTTAATATGTACTAGGGGCTGTTCAAAGCACTTTCACATGTATCAATTCATTTAATCTTTATTTTAAAAAAACCTCCATGGAGTATTAGTGTCCTCATAGTTAAGAAAACAAAGGCATAGAAGGTTAAGCAGAGGTAGAATCTGAAGCCAATGCTCTGATCTAAACCAAGAAATTCAACATTGGCCCCAAACTTGCATCCCTAGTCAGAAGAACAAAAGCTGCACACTCTTGGCCCTCATGTGGTCTCTAAGTACCACTCTTCACTAAGAACTGTGGTTCATTAGGAGAATGGCTGATGCTAAGTCTGGGACAGAAGTGTACAAATTGTGCCTGTGACACATTATTGTACCAGAAAGAAAGGAAGCCATCAAAGATTACTGATCATTCCAAAAGGACAAAGGAGCCAACCTGAAGGGGCTCCTACTGGCAGAGGGGAAAAGCTGAGTATAAATGATGATGATGATGATAATAATAATAATAATAATAATAATAATAATAATAATAATATAATGACTTCAAGCGATAGAAACTCACCAAAATAAAAAAGTTAATGGGCTTATATTAATGCTTGAAAAAAATAAAGGAAGAAACTAATTATGAAACCCAGTAATTAACTGGACGTGCCTGCCTTAGTCTTCACCTTAACAAGCGTCTGTTGTTACTCAAGCATGCTGCTAAGGGTTCTCATCTCCCCTTCAACACAGATTCTTTCCAGTATACACTCTACCTACTCAGAGAAAAATTCTGCTAATTACAACTTTCTCTACCCTATTATATTTTTAATGGTGTCTATCCGCCTTACAGACTGATGCTCAGGGACCTGTCTGGTAACTCTGAACCATATCCAATTCCGAACAGAACCACATCTCATTCCCATATAACCTCTGCTATTTACAGGCTTAAAACTGTTCACTTAAAATACCGGAGCAGTCTGACATCTTAAGTTTTTAAACATTTTGTATATTGCGTTTTTATTTGATCTTCCATTATGATGAACATATGGCAGTATTAGATTTTAAAAAGGATATCATGCACTCTAACCCCTTTCGGTGGATTTCCATCGATTGACTCTGTTTCTGAAACCCGACTAATTGATTCACGGGTAAAACTGATTGACTTGGATAGTTTTTCATCTCTCTCTCCACAGTCATCCAAGCTGCTTCTTCCTGGACTTCTGTAAGAAACACACCATAGAAACATAAACAAGGTCACTGCCACGCAAATGACTGATGTAGCCTCCTCATCGAGGTCCTTTTCTGTAATAAAGCATTTTGACAACAAACGTTTTTTGTAATGTAACAAACAAGCTTCTACTTATAACAAAGCTATCTTCTTAAATCCCATGCAAATTGACTTCATTGCAAAAAATAATACATGCTCATATAAGATTTTATAAGCTTCAGAAACCATTAAAAATTAACCAAATACAAGTGGCCATAACAGCAACTAAAAATGAACATTGCTTGTTTAAATTTTAGTTGTGGACAATGAAGAATCTTCAAAAGGTGCAGGGTAGATATTTGAACTGGATGCCAAGCAGCACCAGAAGGCACTTTTAGATCTCCTTCCTTGGGATTCAGTCCCAGCTGCCATAGCAAATACCTCCCAGAAGTGGAAGCTCTTAACGTCTGAGCACAGAGCCCATTCACATTTTATGCCCCCCTTCTTGCTCTTCTCATTCTTACAAACAGAAATTCCTAAGGCTGAAGAAACAGCTTTCAAGTAGTTATAGGGACAAGCCTATAATAAATGTCTTGGGAACTGCTTTTCCTCTTTCAAGGAGAATAAAAAAGTATATTAAATAATAAAGAAGCACAATGGATCTAATTTCCAGTGTTCAACTCTACTGAGCAATTATTATTCCCATGCAATCACTGCTACATTTAGACTTAAAGCTCTTCTAAAATAAAGTAACAGCCTGACATCTTAAGCCATATTATCCTGAGGAAGAAACAGAAAAGCTAAAAAAGCCTCTCAACTCTATTCTTCTCCAGCCAAAGTCACTCCTGGTCAGGCAGAATGGCAGGACTCTGAGGGAATCAAACAAACAAACAAACAAACAAACCCAACTCCTAAACCAACTAGACCACTAGCCGTGTGTCTGAACTTGAGGATTTTATGGAGAAATAAAGAAAAAAGGAGGAAGGAGACTGAAGGTAAGATTGAAAATGAAGAGAAAGAAGATGGAGGCGCTGGGGAAGTAAAGGTTTGAGACACATGTTTCTCTCAGAGGTTGGAAGAATGGGGGAAAGAGCAGAAGAGGGAGCGAGGATCTGCACACTTTTTCCTTTTCTTTTCTTTTTTTTTTTTTTTTTTTTTTTGGTGAGGAGAGAAGTAATTAGGCTTACTTTTTTTTTTTTTTAATTTAATAGAGGTACTGGGGACTGAACCCAGGACCTCGGGCATGCTAAGCACACACTCTACCACTGAGCTATATCCCTGCCCCCTGCACACCTTTTCTTAGAGAACATTCAGTCACCAAGAGAAAAGCTGGACATTGGAGTGTGTAGAGCAGTTGATCAAAAATATTTATTCTTTCTGTTTTCAAAGACTAGAAACTTTTCAAGTCAGCAAGGACCTTGGAGATCATCCAGATTAACTGCCTCCTTCCACAGATGAATAAAGTGAGGATCAGAAAGGTTAAGCAATTTGCCTGAGGTTGCTCAGCTACTTGGTGGCAAACTCCAGACTAGAATCCAGATCTTCTTTACAAAAATGTTAGGTTCTCTGCATTATGTCAATTGCTTTTCTACCCAACTCCAGTACCTGAGAGAGACTAGTAAACTTTACAAGGAGAGCAGTACAATTGAAATTTTTAACTTTAGAGAAAACTAATAAAATATGCATGTGCAACTGTGTAAAAAAGACTGTAAAATATTAATGCTGAACTGACACAATATAAATAGGATAATAGGATCAGCATAGCTAGAGAACTACCTAGACAGAGAAAAATTTTTGTACACACATGGAAACTTCAAAAGATTTCCATTTTAAGACTTACTTGCCATAGAATTTTTTAATAAATAATTTACATAATTTTCATTAAGATATAATTCATATACCATAAAATTCACCCTATTTAAAGTGTACAGTACAGTGGTTTACAGAGTTGTGCAGCCACCACTACTGTTTAATTTTAGAACATTTTCATCGCCCCAAAAGAAACCCCATGCCCAACAGCAGTCACTCCTGGACCCTGGCCAACACTATGCTACTTTCTATCTCTATGGATAATACTGATTCTGGACTCCATTTCGTAACAGTGGAATCACACAATATATGGTCTTTGGTGGCTGGCTCCTTTCACTCAGCTAATGTTTGCTATAGAACTGTAGTGTATTATCCTTAGCTGTTTTTATTGTTATGACCTCAATTACCACTGGACAAAATGCACTTTTATTTGTACAGGTTAATAAAAATGTCCACTCTTCCAAATGAATTCCCATCAGTCAAAAATAATCTCTCTCTGCTCTAAATTTTTCTGACATTATCTATTGCTCTTTTTGGCCCTTGTCATTTTCAACAATTATTATCACAATTATTTGCACTCCCTGTAGTGCTGTAAGCTCCTTTCATTAATGCTCTCAATATTTATTGAGTGCCAATTACATGACAAGCACTATGCTAGGGTATCATTGAGAAAAAGTCGTATTATCTTTGTATTCCTCTAAATACCGACCAGCTAATTTACTTTATTGTTATTTATAAGTGCAGAGATTTCACTAGGTACTTCTCCAGATCCTTAGTAAAAAGATTTGCTAACATCAAGCTTTAAGCAAATCCTAGGTGACAAATGTTACAAAGTTAACATTTCCTCATATGACCTGAATTTGCTTGCCAATTTAGCAAACTATTTTCTGTCCTCACCTTTCACTCATTCCACTACGGAGAACCAGAGAACCGAGAGGCAAATTTCACCCAAGGGTGAATAAATAATTTGAAAGTCTCAATTAGTAAAATCTAAAATAAATCTGCTTTGATTAATAATAAATAAAATTTTAACATTTCAAAACGTTCTGCGGTACCTTGGCTGCACATTATCCTCAATCGATAGGGACAAGTTCTCCATCTCTTCAGCATTTAGGCCTAGCTCAGTGCCATAGTTCTGCTGGAGCAGCTGCCAGAATTCCTGTCTGGTCAGGCTCTAGAACGACAGAAAAGTCACACTGACCATCGGGAAACAACATAGTATATAACACAGTGAAGTCAAAATGACCCGTTGTGCAGCAACTGGTGTGTGGCTTTGGTCGTTACTTGACTTTTCTAGACATCAGTTTTCCGTATCTATAAAAAGCGAGCTAACAAAACCTATCTGGCATAGCCGATACTGAGAATACGTAAATGGTGATTTTAAAGTATGTAATAGAGTAACTACTGTCAATGTGAGGTTAAGACTTAAAATTTCCTTTCCATAAAATATTTTGTTCGTAGTTCCTGGCAACTACTAATCTGCAATTTAAATCCTGCAAGCCAATCAGTCTACCATGACCACTGGGTCACCATTCAGAGTTCTAATCATCAATTCAGAACCCCTCTTCTTAATCCATAATGTATCTGAATATTTTAACTCCAGTTAAAACCTCATACATCAATAAACTTTAAATTACATTTTTCTAAAATATAAAATGCAAGAGGCTAGAATTCAGAATATTTCTTTTGATTTACCTTTAATAAAGTTCAGCTTGTCTTTCTTTGTAGGTATCATATCACTATTAAATTATCTAATTCAGAAAACTCGTGTGTTATAAAGCAAAACAAAAACAATAATAGTATGATAACCATCGGTCTGATTCTTAGAAACATTTAGATGGTTAACACATGATTAAGCAAGGTAGAGGTAGGCAGCATAACACTTGAAGCAACCATTGGCAAGATTCTTTACCTCTCTCATTCATTCAACAGACATTTATTCAGCACCTACCAAATGTGTCCCACTGCAGTAGATGCCAAGGAGGATAAAAATGATGTACTACTTGCTCTCAAACAACTTACAGCTGAAGAAACGTGAGAGACTTTTAAGTAAAAATTAAATATGACAAACTATAACATTATTATGTACTAAAGTACAGTGGAATCAACATGATATAGAAGTCTAAAGGAAAGAAATATCACTGTGGATTAGGGTGGTCAGATAAGGCTTCACATTAGAGAAGGGTCTTCAGCTGAGCTGAAGAAAGGACATGAATGCAGGAAATGGAGAAATGAAGAAATTTCAGGAGAGGGAACCTACATAAAAATACAGAATAAATACATGAAAAATATAAATAATATTTGTTTGGAAGTCAATGAGTAGTTTATCAGCCTAACTGGAGTAAAATTTTAAGTGGGGAAATAGTTGGAACAAATATAGAGAGATTTTACGGGGCTAAAACATACAGATGCCTTGAATTCCTCCCCAATACTCCCCGCGATAAGTACCACACTTCCTTTTATCTTTCTCCTTGTTTGTCCTCTCTGTCTAGTAGTTATGGTATCTTTGTCTGTTACATTACACTATGCGACCTTCATTATTACATTTCATGGAAACTCAAAGATATTCGGAAGAAAATTCCTGCACTTTAGACTACTAGTTCTCAAATTCCTAGGATCCACAACAGTAGTTGATGAAACTTTAGATATTATTATAAGCATTTCAAAAAGTCAAAAATATCCAAACAGTTACCTACAATAGTTATTCAAGCTAAGTAAAATGTCAGGCCTCTTTGTTTGGGGCTGAATTATATTAATCTAGAGTGGTTATCTCAGGCTTAATAAACAATAATATTCTAACATTTTATTATTTAATATACACCACTTATTTGGTGGACAAAAAAGTCTTTTGAAGAATACTGTTCATAGAAAAAAAACTTTAAAAATCACTAGTGGTAGAGAAAGTTAAGGAACCACTGTCCTCGACCCTGAAGGTACACCCCCAGACATTTCTTTTCTGATTCCCACTCAGCAAGAGCCATTTGTGAGCTTTTTTTTTTCCACAGTAGCAGTTAGCTCATACTAATAATTAACTCAATATTCCAAAGACATTATCTTTGAAGTACTTTTAGTGTCACAAGTGGATGGTTAACTTTATAAAGAGAAACAAGCAATATTTCAATATACTTGTGGAAGATTAATCTTTTATAAAAACTATTCTGAAATAATTGGTATCAAACTATTCCAAAAACAAACTAAAGCAAGTATATGGACAAAGATAAACACTGAGACAGCTTACCTAAGAGTGAAAGAAATAAAGCTTTTAAGTAAAATAGTAATAACAAAAATACAATTTTATTTGACTATGTAAATAAATGTCTTAAATATTATCAAAAAGCTCTCAGAGGTTAATAGCAGAGTAATTTCATTATACTTTTAAATCTATTAATTAAATATAAATAATGTTAATGGTAAACAAAATAGAACCCATTTAATTCAGAATCTTATAGATTTGCTAATTTGTAAAAATGAACTTTTCTACAAAATTGGCAAAGTGACAAAAATGGTTATTTACAGTCATGCTGAACATTTAAACATTAAAATATATACCGAGACTGATATCCACAATTCTTCAATAATCACCAGCAGAGCCAAGGTTAAGAAACCATAAGAAACAACCTAAATTTTAAACAAAGACTGAACACTTACCTGCAAACAGCGGGAGGGAGGCCCCCCCGTTCAGCCTGATGAGCACTTGAACAAAATAAAGACAATCAAGCAGTAATCAGATAAGGCTTAAAAGTCAGATCAGCGTCTGGCCCAGAAAGCTTTGTATTCTAAGCACGCTTGAAGTCTTTATCTGCAGCAGAGTTCCAAACATTTAATGACAACTATGTAGAATCACTGCTTCAATCTTCTAGTTTTATTATGAGAAGCTTTTCCTTATAAAAGGCTAGTTCTATTATAATTTAAAGCACATTATTTGTCACTTCCTGGTTTGTAGTATCAGCACTCTTTCCAAGGCTGCCAGACAGAATGCAGAATTGGAAGTTACACCTCGCTCTACAGGTTCCTAAGCCACTCCTACTAGAACAGGGTAGGTAAACAGGGCTTTATTAAAGGGACAGTATCCAATTTTTGCTGTTCTACACATCAATTAGAAAAAATAAAATGCAAATGAAAATATCTTGCTTATACTCAATTATGTAAATTGCATACTGCAATACTATTTTAACCTCGTTTTTTAAATTAAATATATTAAGGGTAAAATTTTCTTTTCCATGCTAATACTTCCTATTTCATTCTGGCAATGTCATCATTTCTTCATTTACCACTTCTTCAGTGCTGGCATCCTCATCAGATGCCTGTATTAACCCTTTACAACGATCAAGGACTGCATCTCTTGAGTACCGGAAATGGAACATCAAGAAATGGCAGGAAGAACCAGCTGTTCAGGTGGAGCAATTCCAATAAGCATTCAGCATATTTTTCATCATTGAAAAGTTTACATCTTGATTATTCAGTAATTCTTTCCTTTACAAATACTTTTTTACTTTATTCAGAATAACTTCCTGGCAGGGACCTGGACTATAATAAACACTGAGGAGAGTCCCATCTATCAGTTCTAATTTATTTCCCAGAAGAAAAATCTTCCTCTAAATAAAACATTAAATCTTGCCCTAATTTCTACCTAGCTGTTCCATTTAATTCAGTAAGGTGTATAGATAAGTCAAATGCTACTTGATGCACTGCAAGGATCAACCTTCTGGGGGAGGGGAAGGGTTGTTAAAACCTAATCATTTCATACAACAGCAGAATGAGGGACCAGAGTGACCCTGAAGGATACCACTTGCTCAAACTGAAGAGAGCACACGAGGGGGCTAGGTTCTACTCCCTAAAAACCAGTGCTTTTGACATATTATAGCAGTTCTCACTGACCGAAACCATAGATAGGTATCCTCACTCTACTATGGTAACCAAATAGCTGTGAGAAAAATATACATTAACTCTACTGTAAATGATTTTATATACTTCTGCTAAATATAAAAATCCCTTATAGTCAACCACTGGATAGAGAGCAGTACTAAGCTTAGTAGGTTTAAGAGGGAAAATAGAACCTAAGACTGGGCCCCACGAGAGCCTGGCACGCAAAGGCTGAGTAGGAAACGAGTGCCCAGCAAAAACAAAAACAAGGGAAATATCTGAAAGGTGGAGGCCAGTTCAGAAAGAATGATATGGAAATCAAGGGAAGAAGGTGTTTCAAAATAGAGCATGCGGTGGTGTGAGATGCTGCTGAAATAGCCAAGATGAGCTCATGGATGGCAAATGCAAGTGTGCAGAGGAGTGAAGCAGCGCCTGGGTGACTAGGGGGACACAGGGAGGGAGAAGGAAAGAGTCCATGGGGGAGGGGCAGCAGCCAGGTCATGAAGAGCCTGTATGTCACGCTAAAGAACACGGAGTCCACAGTGTCAAAATATAAAAAGCCACCTTCTAGTTTCACACTGAAAAGTAACAAGTTCAGAAATGTGTCCTAAAAGATACACTTTTAAAATTACTATTACTTTGGAAACAACCAAAAGGACAGATGAGAGTATTAAAAAGAGATCTTTAACACAAAGAAGTATATTCTATAGCTTATAATAAACTATAATGAAAAATATGAAAAAGAGTATTTATTGTAGAACTGAATCATTATGCTGTCTACCAGGAACTAACACAATGTTGTAAATCAATTTTTCTTCAATTAAAAAAAAAGATCTTTTGGAGATTATTATAACGGTTCAAGCTAGAAATGTTGAGAGCTTTAATGACGGACATGGCAAGTTAGCAAAGAAGACATAAGAAACAAGGATGCACCAGGTTTCCGGCTTAGGTGACTGGGCAGGATGAGGCACACTTTGCTGACCAAGGGAAAACAGGTGGAGGGTTCTGCCAACCGGAAAGGTTAAAAAATAGGAAACAATATATATGAATACAAATACTTCTATTTTGCCAGGCTAGTATATAGAAAATGGAACTTAAAATAGTTATCAATGTGCCTTTATTTTTTCCATGTAGGTCTGGCTATTACACTTATTAGATTCATAGCACTACTGGAAAACTTCTAGATTTCCAAGTAATTCCAAAATCACTGGAGAGGGGCATTAGGAAGAGTAAGAGGATTTGATAAGGCTGAGGAGTCTACTGGAGAAGGCTAGATGACAGGCCTCCAAAAGGTCTCAAAGGTGACATAACCTTGATAAATTGACCACTATTTGGAGGAAGGCCTCAGCACTGTCAGCATCCCACAGGAGTACTCAGAGTGGTCAACTTAAACGAGCCACACTCACAGGCTGCATGTACATGCTCCGTAGTAAATACACTAATGCATAGTAGGGAAAAGATCCTTTCTAGATTTCAGATTTCAATCATTCTACCATCCAGGTGCCTGAATACCTTGGAAGTCAGACTGTCACCAGAAATGTGCATGATAAACATGGAGTACAGCACAGGTAGATAGTTTTAAGGGACAATTTACTGTGACACTGGTAGGGCCTGATGACTCATCTCTGTATATTTCTCTAGTGATCAGAGTCTGCCTCTGTGATTGCTTTTCTGTCCTAAGTCCTAAGTTCTCAGCCTAAGTCTGGCCAAGCATCCTCCAGATTGACATATTCTTTCTGTATACATACTAGTACAGTTAATCAACTATTTTAAACTCTTTTAACCCACTTGAGAAATAGGATACCCTTCTGTCATCCTTCAATCAGAGACTCCCAAAATAGAAGCTGGAGTGACATGTAACAGAATTTGGAGAGGGAGGGGTTTGTATACATTGAAAAAGCTCCCATCATCACCTCATCCCTAGTTATGACACATGCCCCTTCCTTCTGCCCTTTGGGAATAAGCCTAAAAGCCATTCTGTCTCTTTAAGCTTTATAATTTAAAATGAGCACAGATTTCCGCTCTACCAGGCCCTGGATTTAAATATTCACTTTCAAAATGTACTCTTCAATTTCCATGAAGAGCTAGCTTCCTAGTAGCTCCCATGTACTGGCAAGAAAGACTGCTATTATCTCTCTGAGAGAAAAATAGTGCAAAATGAATAATTTGATTCTGTACACATCCTACCTATATTATTAGTATCAGTAATCCCAAATCTATTAATACAATAATATCACTAGAAACAGAAAAGTATTAATGAGGCTGGAGTAGCATGCTGGGGCCAAATCATACAGTCCCTATATAAAACTTTAAAACTTTATTCCAAGGGTAATGGATATTAAGCAAGAAGCTAATACTAGCAGGCATACATGTTAAAAAAACAACAAAAAAAAACAATAAATCTGGCTTTAGTATTGTTCAGAGGTCCAAAAACTGTTTCTGTAAGAGACCACAGAGTAAATATTTCAGGCCTTGTGGCCCATTCACTCTCTGTTGCAACTACTCAACTTTGCCACTGCAGTGTGAAAGCAACCACAGACAACACAGAAAGAATGAGCATGGCTGTGTTTCGATAAAATTTTATTAATGGACACTGAAATTTGAATTTCATATAATTGTGTCATGAAGCATAATTGTAAAATCACTTCTACTTTGTGGACCATGCAAAAACAGGTAGCAAGACTGTCTGACCTGGTACAGAACATGGAAGGGGGAGGGGCTTAAATGCAACAAAATAGTGGAGGGATCAAGTAGGGAAGGGCCTAGGGACTCATCTTAAACCAAGGTTCTATACGAAAAAAAGAAAATATCAATTGTTTCTTTCAAAGAACGGAGCTGACACGCTCTTCTGGCCCTACGAATCCCAAATACTCAATGTGCTATCTAGAGAAGGGTGCCAAACTCAACGGTTGTGAACTAAGTGGAAGGGATATCAATTACAGCATGAATGACCACGGTGACAATGAAAACATGTCTAAACATTGAAGACTTACGGCAAGCTAAGCCAAATATCTGAAATAAACTGTTCTTTCTGAAGCAACACATCAGAGGAACCTCATGAATGAAAAAAAAATGTACTTTTAAAAGCATTCTTTGCCAAAAACAAAAAATGAAATGAAATTTTTTTTTAAAAAAAGCATTCTTTTAGATAAACAACAAGGTCCTACTATACAGCACAGGGAACTATATTCGATATTTTATAATAACCTATAATAAAAAAGAATATGAAAAAGAATATGTATACATATGTATATATAACTGAATCACTATGCTGTACACCAGAAATTAACATTGTAAATCAACTTCAACACGTCAATAAAATTAAAAAAAGCATTCTTTTTCAAAGGCATTATATTTGCCTCCAGCTTTTTTTCCTTTTTGTGGATTTATTTTACTGAAGAAACAAATACACGCAAACACACATACCTACACATAGACTTAAAATCACCCTGTTGTATTAATTTTAATGGAATAATCTTTTATCTAGATTAATCTGCTTTGTTTTCAAGGCCCCCTTATGCAAGAAGCAAAAATCAGACATATTTACTTCTACTCTCAAATTCCTTAATTATATCAAAATCCCATAATAAATATAATATTCTAAACTTAAATCCTCTAAAAATACTTTGAATATATGTAAAATTTATTATTCACATTACTTGTCTTACAGAATTTAGTTGGTCTGTATATTTTATGGATTTTGATTTTTTCCTTCTCTTTTTAAAAATGGTATTACAAAAGATCAAGAAATCTAACCAATGTGGCTTTATTTCTTTAAAAAAAACTGGAAGACAACTGAGACTTGTAAAATTACAAACAATATTGAGACTATACGAAGCATCTAGCACTATGTCTGGCACCTAATACTTCATAACTGAGAGTTACTATTATTGTTATAGATATTAGTAAATTAAAAAATGTTCTTCAAAGATCACTAGGAAGGGTAGTTTTGTTGTTGATTTTATTTTCTAATTCCTTTTCTGGGTGAATTCCACAGAGTTTAAAGTTCCAATTAGGATAATTTTAAAACTGAGATCTCACTTTAAACTTTCATTAAGTTCTGTATAGCACTTAACATATAGTATATGCGTAAATGTGGATTTTTGTCCTACCATAGAGCAGAAATGGTCATCGTTCTATTTATTAAAATGAGAGCACTGCGTCTACTTGAAATAGAATTGCATGTTCAACATTAAAGATAACCAAATAATCCAAAGATCTGAAAGGTAGAACTACCGTAAAAATATTGATACTCCTCTGAACACATCAAGAACATAGCTGACATCAGGAA